TCACAGCAACAGCCTGGCAACTACTCAAAACACATTAGCAATCTCAAACCTTTGACACCACCCAGATTACCCCAGCAATCACATAGCAACACCCTGGCAACTACTCAAAACACATTAGCAATCTCAAACCTTTGACACCACCCAGATTACCCCAGCAATCACATAGCAACACCCTGGCAACTACTCAAACACCCCAGCAATCACATAGCAACACCCTGACAACTACTCAAAACACCCTAGCAATCTCACAGCAACAGCCTGGCAACTACTCAAAACACACTAGCAATCTCAAACCTTTGACACCACCCAGATTACCCCAGCATTCACATAGCAACACCCTGGCAACTACTCAAAACACATTAGCAATTTCAAACCTTTGACACCACCCAGATTACCCCAGCAATCACATAGCAACACCCTGGCAACTACTCATAACACCCTAGCAATCTCATAGCAACACCCTGGCAACTAGGGTGACCACCATCAAACAAACCAAATGTGGGACGATTACTAAGTTTGTGTGGGACAATGTGGGACATGTTACCAACACTAAAACATAACCTGAAACTGTTATATAATGTCTATTTAAACATTTGTATTCTGCATTTCAGCTGATAAAAATACTTTGTTCTTCAGTCCCTTCCAGAAAACACAATTACATCACAATGTAACATAACTTAACTTTATTTTACATGTCATTTAAATTCAAAATCACTGAGCCCAAAGGCAGCAGGCATCATTTCAACTATTTTGAAACAGTTCTGACCAAGTCCAACTAAAATCCAACAAAATAAATAATGAACAAATAAAATATAAAACAACATGAAATTAGTTTATTGACAGTCTTATATATCAAGAATATATTAAACCAAAAACTTTAAATTTTTTAGAAAGGATGTGAATTAAAACAAGCACAGCAGGCAACAAGTTGATAAATTCTGTTAAATAAAAATGTTAATTTACAGAATTATCCATTTGTTTTCTGACAGGGAACACATGGAACGAATCACCGCTCCACATTTTGATTGACAGCCGTCACAACCTACTAGTGACCGTGTTTACTCCTTTCTCTTCAACCATTTGGATAGGATTTAAAAAACGGCTGTTGTATTTGTACTTCTGTTGAAGCGCTGTTAAATATAGGTGAAAAACCATGCCGCAAAAATAATAAATAAAATGCTTTCTTAAACCTTTGACACCACCCAGAACACCCTAGCAATCACATAGCAACACCCTGGCAACTACTCAAAACACCCTAGCAATCTCAAACCTTTGAAATCACCCAGGCCAGAACACCCCAGAAATCACATAGCAACCTTGCAACTACACCCTAGCAATCACATGGAAATGCCCTGGCAACTACTAAAAACACCATAGCAACCACATAGCAACACAATGGCAGCCTCATACCAACACTCTGGCAACCACTCAGGTTGCAATGTCATAGCAACGCCCTGACAACCAACCAACTTGTGGCGAGTTTCGCATGGGCAAACACTTACATTTTTTAGAAGATGTAAAAATCGAATTAAACTTAAATTATTTAATATTTGGTGCCTAAAGAATAAATATGGGCATGGCCTTTCATATTAAAATCATAGAGCAATCTTAAGAAACATAGTTTTGCACAAACAACCCAAGATCAAACTGGGTAAGCGTTCTGCACTTCAATTAGCACTAGATCTTGAGCTGGCATCAATGTGACTTCATGGAAAACGAAGAAGGCAATAAGAGGTTTGCTCTGTGATCCCTTGCATTTTAATGAGCCGATCATGTAGAGTCCTCAGGGAACAGACAGTAACACTATATTCCGGCACAACATGGACGCTAAAATACTAAACAGCAGCGTGCTCAAAATCGCAAAGTCATCAGTCACGTCCAACTGAGCTGCGAGGTCTCGGTTCACGTCCACTGACTGACTCTAGTTATTAATGCGCCATTACCAGCAGGTGAAGTTGGAAAACTGACCAAGGAAGAAACTGAGGCTGGTTCGGGCAGAGCTGGAAATAACTGAAGAACACAGATAAGAGGACGAGAAGAAAATGTGAACTGGGAACAGGAGAACAAGGAAGAGGACTCGGGTGCAATAGGGACAGACCAGGTGTGATGAAATAGTCATGAGGAGAGGCAGAGTCTAGCTTGAGTTACACCTGCCGGTCCTAAAGTAATGAGGAAAGAGCGAGAGGAGGAACGCCACAGAGATGGGGAGAAGAAGGAGAGATACAAGACGCTGGCAAGGGCATTAGTGAAGTCTTGGGAGCGCTGAGAAGGTTTGTGTTTTATTTGTGGACTTTGCTTCTGTACTGACTTACAGTATGCTTAGCTATTCTATCTTTGCTGGCTACTTTCTGCTAACGCTAAAAAGTGCTTGCTAACTTTGCATGTTTGTGCTGTAAGCTCACGCCTCACACCGTAGTGTAGCTACATTTGCGTTTTTTAATGTGTGTAGGGGTTAAATTGAGTTATTTTACATAGTTAACATCACTTGATTAGTTGCTTGAGCTCTGGCATAACATCCATCTAACCTTTAAGCCTCGAGGAACTTGTTTAACCCACAAACTACATTAAAATATCCTGTTTCTGGTACAGATCCTGCTAAGATTGCACTTATCGCTGTATTTAGGAGTTAAAAGTCTCTACCTTCACCTTAGCGATGTAAATTATTCAAGAACACTTGGATTCCGTCACAATCTGTCAATCAGGGAGATTAAGGTGATCCTGAACAAGCAGCTGCTGTGATGTGAATTTGTTCTTCGCTACTTGATGTTTTGACGTTTTGAAGGGTCACCACTGTGATCTACAACAAAATCAGGAAAATCAGATCCTTATAAATGCATTTTATGGTTTACATGCAAATCAGTAAAGGGTCAATGCAATAAAGTTTTCTCCTGACATCAAACCTTGTGCACAATAATAAAAAAAATATATATATATATACACTACCGTTCAAAAGTTTGGGGTCAGTGAGAATTTTATTTTGATTTTTTGGAGGAAAGAAATCAATACTTTTATTTATCAAGGACAGGAAAGACATTTATAATGTTACAAAAGATTCTATTTCAAACAAATGCTGTTCTTTTGAACTTCCCATTCATCAAAGAATCCTAAAAAAAAAAAAAAAAAACTGTACAACTGACAGACCAACAACTGTTTCAACATTGATAATAATAATAAATGTTTCTTGCGCATCAAATCCTCATATTATACTGATTTGTGAAGGATCATTTGACACTGAAGACACTGACACTGGTGATGCTGAAAATTCAGCTTTGATCACAGGAATAAATTACACTTTACTATATATTCACACAGAAAACAGCTGATTTACACTGGAATAATATTTAATACTATAACTGATTTTTGTTGTATTTTTAATCAAATAAGCGCAGCCATGGTTAGCAGAAGATAATTCTTTTAAAAGTATTTAAAATCGTACCGACCCCAAACTTTTGAACGGTAGTGTATATTTAGATGCAAAACAGAAAAGCAAAAATCTTATATTTTTTTAATCAGGTTTCGCTTAAACCAGGAGATGCCCAAACTTTTTACTACAAAGCAGGATTGTAGTTAGTTAAAATTAAAACCATACAAATAATTGATACATAAAATGAAATAAACAACTGAAATTAAATAAAGATTAGTTGCCAAAGAAATATCTCATTTTTATTTACCTTGACCTTAACTAAAAATGAATACATATAAAAAATAAAAAATAAACTAATAAAATTACAAAAACACACAATGAAATTACTAAAACTATAACTAAAAAAAACTTTAAAAAACTATAACTATAATAGTATGTCAATGATAGTAAAACATACTGCTGTGGACCGAAGGTTAATGTTGCATTATATGCAACAATTTTATTTTCAAATTTACATTCAGAAATTTTTAATTTTAATTTTTAATTTCAATAAGAAAATAAGTTAAAAAAAAATAAAACATAAATTACTAAAAAATTATGATATGCTTAAATGGCACGTTATTTCCCCCGCTCTGTCGATATGGCATGGCAGGGCAAATCAAAGGTCATCAGTGGCCAACTGGTTCAGGCATCTCTGGCTTAAACGGTTTACAAGCTTTCCTCGAATCAAGAAAACATTGAAGAACGACATTCACGTGACCTGGCACACATCTGTTTCTTAAGATCAGCATCATTCTCCTCGAGCTGCAGGTGGAGCTGAGCACTATTTGAAATACGTCAATATGTTACTTGACCGTGTCTAATTCAGATAATGGATGAAGACAAAGACCCATTAGAGAGTGATGTACCATCTGCTTTAATCTACTACTAATAAACTACACTGAAAACCAGGAACAGGCAGTAAAGGGTACATTTTTATGACATCCACAAGTTCAGTAATTTAGTCAAAGTGTCAAAATTGAATCCAAATTGTTTAGCTACCATTAATAGCACTATATAAATATGCTACATAATTCCAAAGATAATATGAAACAAAACCGAGCAATTACCATGTGCACTGCTAAAAACGTTTTCTTTCTTAGAATTTGAACTTTACTTTTCTCGTTTTCCAGTACAAATATTTTAAACAATCCTAAATGAAGATATTAGCATGAGTGGAAAAAAATATCATGTGTCGTGTTTTGAAAAATGCATAAAAAGTAAGTGAGTTTATGTTTAATGGGATAAGAAAAATAAACTTATCTCTTTGAATTAAGTTTATTTTTCTCATCACATTGGCAGATATTTTTTCTTGTTCACTGAAAAAAAAAAAAAATGTTTCAACGTTCTGCCTTAAAATTTTAAGTTTAGGCCGGTTTCACAGACAGGGTTTAGATTAAGCCAGGATTAAGCCTTAGTTTAATTATGACATTAAAGTAGCTTTTAAAGGCGTTTGATACCTTGTAAGGACCATTAGATTTGGATGAGATGCATTTGCATAATTTTTCTCCTTCTCTTGTTTGATCTCTCTTTAATTTCTTTTCTTTATTTAACAGCTTTAAAATAAAGTGTGACCTCTGAAGGAGCGATCATTGTTACAGAACTGAAGTTCTCCGAGTCAGACCTAAAGCATGACTCGACTGGAACCGGCTCTCCAGCGCTCAGAAAGTCGCTCAGTGATAGAAACGCAGAGCAGGAGAGGAAGCGTCAGCATGAGCAGAAGAGAAAGTGTCAGCCAACACACAGGTGAGATTTACGCCGTATCATGATTACCGTAATTACACGAGGACAACCCTTGACGTTCTACTCGTAGCTTTTCACGTCCTCGGATCTGTAGAGTGATCAACAGACAAAACCAAAACACATCAAGTAACAGTCGTTATGCAAATGCCTTATTAATAAACGTATAGTTTATTTAGTGGGACATTAGATTGTATTAATTGCTGTGCTAGTTACGTTAAATTGCAATGTGGTATGCCTTTTGTTTAAATTCAAATGATTCTTGCAGTATTAAGACATAAACAATAGTCAATTACAGTAATTACTAAGCAGAAATATTACAAAATAGTAACTTAACAACATTTTATTGCTGAAGACGCAGCCATTTACAATAAAGATGTCGTTTTAAAAATCATAGCACACCACAACTATAACGATAACGACACAGAGGAACGATATTGTTGGAATCACTTTCAGAACAACATTTTTCCAGTTGATGAATGATAAATAAAAGCGAAACAGAATCCACCCAACTTTAAAGAGCTTGAGTAATTAAAGCGGCAGAAAATAATATTGCTTATAATAAACAGAACGATATTGAGTCTAAAATAGTTTTCGTTCTTAGTGTGAACGGGACTTCAGCAGTATTAGCCAGCAGCCATATCACCCTGTAGCCCAAGACTGGTTGCCCACTGAAGCTAAGCAGGGCTGAGCCTGGTTAGTACCTGGATGGGAGACCTTCTGAGAAAACCAGGTTGCTGCTGGAAGAGGTGTTAGTGAGGCCAGCAGGGGGTGCTCACCCTGTGGTCTGTGTGGGTCCTAACGCCCCAGTGTAGTGACGGGGACACTATACTGTCAAAGAGCACCGTCCTTCGGATGAGACGTTAAACCGAGGTCCTGACTCTCTGTGGTCTCAAAAAATCCCAGGATGTCTTTCGAAAGAGTAGGGGTGTAACCCCGGCATCCTGGCCAAATTTGCCCAGTGGCCTCTGTCCATCATGGCCTCCTAATCATCCCCATATATATATATACACTGATTGGCTTCATCACTCTGTCTCCTCTCCACCAGTAAGCTGGTGTGTGGTGAGCGTTCTGGCGCAATATGGCTGCCGTCGCATCATCCAAGTGGATGCTGCACATTGGTGGTGGTTGAGGAGATTCCCCCTTCCATGTAAAGCGCTTTGAGTGCCTAGAAAAGCGCTATATAAATGTAATGAATTATTATTAATTATTATTATTATTATTATTACAGAATATTTTGTCTTGTATATGCAACAATCAACAAATAATAAGAGTGTAACGGTACATGTAGATAGATATATTCGTACGGTGTGGACGTCACGGTTTGGTTCATGCAGTCGCACGACGAACACATTCAGTAACAGGCGATCCACACTCCAATCCAGAAGGGGGCGTACGGCAATGCAACGCTGTTTGCTATCAGTAAAAAAAGCGAAGAAGAAAACAACAACCATCTATTGATATTTTTGCATCTCTCAACAAGTGTTTCAACTGCAGAAAGATATCAAAACAGCTTGAGAATAATATCTCACGTAGCATTACGTTTACCTCAGTTTACCGCATTTAGTGTCGACAGCAGGTTAGTTCACTAGAGATATTAACTCTAGAGAGAAGCATTTCATATATGCACTATATTAGCCTATTCATTAGGTTTACTTAACCTGATGGTTTTAATAGTCTTGATTATTAGATAATAGATAATTAATAGTCTTGGTTATTTAATGTATGTTTAAATAAATTTGTCATGAAAACAAGTAATGACAGCCACTGTGTAAATGATTATATTTCAAAAATGAATTGGAGTAGAAATTTTTATAATTAGATTTAGAAGTTAATGCAAAACCTACCTTATGTGCAATTTACAGTACATGTTTTATTTATTTATTTGAGTGTTGATTATTATATCTAAAAATAAATAGCAACTGATTTTAATAATTTGGGCTCTGTTGTTACTTGTAACCTTGTAATTAAGGGCTCCCCGTATAGTTTACAGCATTAACTAAATAACTATTTTATTATTATTATTTATTAACTATTTTATCCTTAAAAAAATTTTAATTTCAAAAGAATTTATTTAAACACATATACACACTTTGTAAAAAAAACCCCCCCAAAAAAACAGTTTAATAAAAATAAAAATAAAACAGAAAAAAGAAGCAATAGTTTTCTCCCCCATCCTGTACCGAACCGTGACTTCAATACCGAGGTACGTACCGGACCGTCATGTTTGTGTAACGGTACACCCCTAAAATAATAATAAAAATGATCATACATGGATTTATAATACGTTAATTATGTATGTGTCAATGCCTTGTCTTCCTCAAACAGAGACTAGAACAGAAACAGAACAAAGTGGTGGACGTGCCATTTTTAAGAGAGCCAATCGCTTCCTCTCACGAGACCGGGAACAAGAAGATGGCAGTCCTCCGTCTCCCTTGCGTCACTACGAGAGAGGCCACCCTCTTCCGGCCAATCACAGTCCAGAACGTAAAGCCGCCATCCCTTTCCGAAACCGTGACCTGGGCCTCCCGTCCTATAGGAGGCGCACTGACAATTTCAGCGATGAGGCAATGAGCGGCCTCTCCCCCCAGCGACACATGTCCTATTCAAATTTCAGACGTGGAGACAGCCAATCCCGCGCAAGTCCTCGTTCCTGCAGCCCGAGATCTACGAACGTCTCACCACAAAGGCGGGGGGAATCGCGAAGTTCGTCCCGTCGCCAAGGTTCAACAACGCACGGCCATCGCACATCCTCACAGCAGGCTTCTGGGAAATGCACTCCGTCACGAAGACGAGATTCGATAGTCACGCGCACCACGACCCCCTCGCGAAACTCAGGTACGAATAAATATGCAGACTCCTTTAGCCCCGCCCACAAAAGAAGCCCCTCCCAGAGTTCTTACGGGCACAGCTTGGATTCTGAAAAGCTGTATAAGAATCTCAAGTCAATCGCGAGTTCGGCAGAGTCAGACGCCTCCGAAGAAAGGAACAGCTGGTCAAAAAGTTTACATTGTGATATGGAAATCGACGGCGATTTTAACGAACGCAACCACAGCGGTCGCAGCAGTCGAAAGAGTGGTGGTGGTCGCAATACTGGCTACAACAGCAGGGATTTCTCTCCAACTGGAGGCAATCGTGAAGTAACTCGAAGTCGAAATGGTGGTGGTTATAATAGTCGCAACAGCAGAAATAGTGGTTTTAACAGTGCTGGCACTTCAACACCTTATCGAGATTATGATGAACATGGTACTTTAAAAAGCAATTCAAAAAATAAAAATCGCAGGAATGGCGTGTACACCTCAGAAAAACAGTCCAGATCTGATTCGCGTCAATCACTAAGCCCCACCCACTCTCGTCGAAGCCCCACCCACTCACGTCCAAGCCCCACCCACTCTCCTCTAAGCTCCACCCACTCTCCTCTAAGCCCAACTTCACCAGCATCAACACCAAATATCTCCCAATCAAGGCGGAGTCGGAATCCAGTTCCTACCCCTGATTTGCCCAAATCCCAAGCCTTAATTGCAGAGACGGAAAAGCCGGTCACTGATCGGAGCAGAAGCAACATCAGGCGGGGCTTGGAGGCGCTAATTCTCTCCGAAAACACCAGGTCTTCCAGCCAACCAGCAGTGCCAGAGATGACCATTGAGGACTATGTGATCATAGCAGATATTCCCCGATCGAAGCTGTACCCTGAGGAAGAAGAAGCAATAGTAGTGAGGAGGAGACCGCAGAGCAGGAGCCCACGCAGAGACAACCAACACAGGTCAGAGGTTTAAAGAGAGAGGGAGAGCGATACCGCTTTACCGCTGACATGGTGCCGGTGCCGAAGCCTGAGCAGATCATGCCTAATATCGCCCTATACATCATCTTTCATACAGACTGTCTGGTTCTAGAGCACCAGCACTATTTCAGTGGCAAAGGGGCATGAGCGAGTGAGTAAGAGACAGAGTGAGAGAGACAGAGTGAGAGAGAGAGAGAGACAAAGTGAGAGAGAGAGAGCGCAATGGATTTAAAAACAGAGTCTCAAGACGCGAAGTAGCATTTTAGAAACACAACACTTGTTTAAAAAAAAATAAAAAATACAAACTTTACAATCAAACTTCACTCATTCATGAATTTGAAGACACCCATCAGGGTCAACATCGCAAATACGTTTGTTTATGCCCCAATTTACATCCGAAAACATCCAAGTCATTAACCAACTTGTAATAGCTAAACACTATATTGATAGGGGATTTTATTAACCGCTTTAACACTGCAAATGCATCAGTTAATCCACCATCATTCAATTTTCCTTTACGTGAAAAACAAATTGCCATTTTAGCTTGCCCAAATAAAACATTTAATAAAACATGAACATGAGAGAGAGAGAGAGAGAGTGGAAACCCTGTCAGTAAAATTTGCTTCTTCTTTCTGTGGCTAAAGCTATGGGGATAGGAGATATGGTGATGATGAGCATGAGGTTTCAGAAGAGCGAGGCAGAGGACGAGAAAGAGAAAGAGGAAGAGACCGCAGAGAGAAAGAGCGGAGACGTCCAGACAAAGAAATAGGAGGGTCATCATCAAAGGCCAACAGCACTACATCAGGCCATTCACAGGTGCTGGAGTTCACAAAGCTTCACAAAGCTTCACACACTTCCTTTTCTCATTGGTTTCATTCACTGTCTACTCTGCTGAATCTGCAGCATCATACTTAAGAAATCCCAATAGACTTACACTGACATCTGAGACATATTTGAGAGTGGAGATTTTGGTGTGGGTCAGTATGTAACAACCCAGCAAGCAATAGCTGTCATTTCACCATCTAGGTTAACCATAGACCCGATATAGTCCAGCTATGAGTGACCCACTTCAAGCCAAAATAACCTTGAATTTGGTTACATGTCGTTTTTTTTTGCCAAAATAACTTGCGAAATCATGTAAGCAAAGTAAACAGTGATTACAAGGTGTTTGGTTTCATTTCTTCACTCATTTCATTTCTTTGTTATCTAATTGAAGACTAGTCTATTCTTGGGCTATGGTTTAGACATCTATAAAATGTTCACTGACAGCCCAAATTTTGCCTTGTTTTAGCCTAGACGTCTGGACTGTGTGTTTGGACGGCTATTAGACGTCTTTTAAACACAAAATTGCTTGCTGGAAACCGAGCAACCACCCAGAACCTAATAACTGCATAGCAACACACTAAAAAACACCAAGAACACCCACACAAAGTCACAAACACATGCCCTGCAAACAACCACCCACAACAATGATTCCTTGAGAAAATAAATAAATAACGTTATAGCTTATTAATTTTTAAGTCTTATTAAGTCAGTATCTCTCTGAATATGTTCTCAGAGGTCCAGTAAAAAAGCAGAGAACATAAGGATGGTAAACGGAGGACACAAAGGTCCACAACAGCCTCCTCAGATGCAGGTAAAGTCACACACAGTCACCGCCACTCGTTTACCAACACTGAGGTATTCAGTTTCTAGTCCAGAAGCAGGTGTTTATGCTCGCAGGACGGACGAAAACGCACTTTTGAGCTACTAGACAGAAATAACATTATATTTAGCGCTAGATACAGACGTTTTAGTGAAGTTATGAGAGGATTTGAAGCTTAAATTACACTGAGAGAAGCTGTAGTGTACAGTTTAGTGGTAATGTGTCAAACCGCGAGCTGCTGCTTAGTTCGCGGAAGCTTGAGGTCACATGACCAGCTGTTAGAGATGCTTGTCTTGTCTAGTCACACAGGGATAATTTAACGTGTTTGTATTTATGGTTATTTAATTACGTGCGGACACTATTTAAATTAGCGTGAATTTGTATTTATTTAATTCACAAGTGCAAATACGCAGTTTGACGACACAACGTACTAGCTAGAATTGAGCAACTAAACCAGTTTCTTCCCTATTTCATGCCAACAACCGGATACCCATGTCGGTAAGTCTTTAAAAATGTATGTAATTGTTGAAATACTTGTGAATGATTAATTGACGCGCTCGTCCCTCCTCGCGCGCGCGACTGGAATGTCTCGTGCTCAGGATTGCTGTGTTCTGGAATGTCACGCTGTTGCTCTGAAACATTCATACTGTAACTGTAGACGTTGAGTTGATTATACACATCGAATTGCTTATGCATGCACTTGTTTTAACGCAACTGGTTCTGTTTTCTATAAGCTTGACCTTCTGAACTGTAAAAAGGGATGGATGTATTTGCTGGATGAAGATGAAGAGGTAAGGATACAGGGCTTTCTTTGAACTTGATCCTTTGAATGATGTTGCATGACCGATCTGTCTACGTGACTTCCTATTTTAACACTCACCAATTTCCCCCTAATTTTTTATTGTTTTATGGCATTTTTATGAACTTGTATTATTTAAGAGACAATGTGGGATATTTGTGCTTTAAAAAAAATAGTTTGGGCTTTTTAAAGGCGATTAAACATAGTGAAGAAAATGAGAAATGGTGCTCATTTACAGAACCTAAGATATACGTTCTCTCATATTTACCTTCCCTAAGGTTCAGAGAGATTTTGCTTTGATTGTGTTAATGCATATCGATGTTTGACATACTTCTGTTTAACTGCAGTGGAGGAAGCACTGGTTTGTGATCACTGATTCAGAACTGAGATACTATAGAGACTCTGAAGCTGAAGAGGTGAGCGACCGTCAGTGATTATTAACTAAAGACTGTACAGATAGCGCTTGAGGAAATAAACATGAACATGGTAAAATGTGTAAATGGAACTGAGAGTACTATATTTATTATAGTATTCTCAGATTATCTGAATAGGCATGGCAGATAATTAATAATAAGTTTGTTTTTCACTTTGTTAGAGAGATGAGGCAGATGGTGAGATTTATTTACGTCACTGTCTGCAAGTGGAGGAATATGATGCCGACAAAAACTATGGGCTTCAGCTGCATGTGAGAACTTGCCACAAACGTTTTTAGAGGCCAAAACTCAAGAATATGCCTAAAGTGTCCCGAATCTCTCTGATTGGTCTGCAGATGCGCGATGGACTGGTGACGCTGTCAGCGATGACCTCCAGGATCAGGAGGAACTGGATCGACACGCTGAGGAGGAGAATCTCCTTCAGGGATTCAGCTGAAAGCATACAGTATGATCAAACTGAGGGGCATAAAAATGCAGAGAATCAATTAGAGATACATTTTTTCAATAAATACTATTTTTAGGGGTGTAATTTTCATGAAAATTAAGCATTTTACACAATGGTATTTGCTACGATGTCCTTAAAATATGCAAAGCAAATCTAAATAAAAGAAGTCATTGACAGAGCATCTAATGAGTCTTAAAAGTAAAATAGCTGGATTGAGACTGCAATGAGATTTTGGGGAGGGGTGGGGAAATTATGGTTAATTGTCATGAAAATAATGTCAGAATGTAAAATTTGGCTTAATATTTCTTAATCTCTATAAAAAAAAATATATAATGATACAACAAAATATTAGACTTAGATACAATTTCTGGTTTTGTTTTTTTCATTTGATTTCAGGTTCATGTTTTTGTGATATTCACCCATAGAGAATTTATTTGGATATTCAAAACATATCAAATATCCATAATAAAACATTGCTATATTAAAAGTCCCCCTGAAGTCAATAATATTATCCCTTAAAACTCATCTTTGATCACTAAATTTACAAATTTAAACGTTTTTTCTTTGAAAAAAAAAAAAACGCCATGCCTTAAAATAACTTGAATGGAACTCTACACCCTTGCCTTATTTAGTAAATGCATAATATGCAAATGACCCCGCCTCCACTCACTCACTCAGCTCAGAGATCCACTCGTTGACGATCACACGTTGATCTGATTGGTTACAAGGTAGTGTGTGACGTCAGAAACACCAGCGATTTCAAACCGTGTTTTTGAGACTGTCTTTGGTTCACTGCAGTTTTAAGTAGAAAATACTCAGCAATGCTGTCGACTTATGAATTTGCACATGGTTTGTCTTAAAGCACATTAACATACACCACATAGACATATAAACAACATTAAAAGCTGGATTTTCACCACAGGGGGACTTTAAGGTAATCTAAAAGATTTTGCTTTGGACTTTTTAAAACTGAAATTTAAAACCTATTGATGTCCAAGTGGAGCCGGTTTGAGGTTTGACTCGAGTTTTTGTTTCCTTGTAATCAGGGAGTTGATTTCTCTTTCTGTTCTCAGACACCCAGACAACAGTGACATCAGCGACAGAGAGAACTCCAGTTCCCAGAATGCACCATCCCGAACCTCTCCCGCACCCCATGACCCAGGGTCAGATGTCGCCAGTCCATGTCAAGATCACAGCGACATGACGTCCTCACCTTTGACCAATCGAAGGGAGGCGGGCGAGGGCCGTGACCGAGATCAAGAAAGACGTCTGGAGGACCGAACCAAGTGGTTCCAGGAGGGAATATCCGACAGGGAGGGCGAGGACCCCTGGGAAAAGGTGGAGTTGAAGAAAGGTGCCACTCCGGTGATGCCGACTAAGCCTCAGGTTCCCAAAACTCAGACGGTGCCGGACATCGAGAGAAAGTGGGCCGACTTTGAGCAGCTTCCAATCGGATTGAACAAGTCACCTGTTGGTTCCCAGAATCCACAAGCGACAAATGAGGTGCTTCAGCGAGAGGTGTGTTTTTGTATCATGGTTGATGTAGTAATGGGATTTAGGCAACGTCCTTGCAGAGGTGGAAAGTAACTTAAGGTTACACTTTATTTTACAGTGTCGTTGTTACATATGTTACATATACTTACCATAGTAATAACAGTAAATTATGCATAATTACATGCAATTAACCCTCAACCAAAACCTAATCCTACCCTAACCCTATAGTAAGTACATGCAGTTAATTATTATTACTCAGTACTTAAATATAGAATTACACTGTAACACAGATACCTTAAAATAAAGTGTAACCATAACTAATTACAAATACACTCGATACAGTACTTGAGTAGATTTTTAAATTTCTTATATAATTGTATAATTAAATTGTGGTACTTTTACTTTTACTTGAGGTGAATAAAAAATGATGTATTCAACTTCGCTAGGCCTCTGGCCTCCAGTAGGAATGAAACAGAAATTACATGCGCATTTAGCGCTCCATATTGCTAACATCGCCTCATTTTGGATAAAAAATAGAAAATTATACTGAAGTACTTTGCTGAAAAACTACTCAAGTTACTACATTACAAACTACTTATTTACTCTTACATGAGTTATATTATTTTCCAGTATTTCATTTTTTTATATATTTTTTTAAAGAATTGTTTTTTTTATAGTTTTACAATATCAAAACCATGGTACAGGTGTTTCATGGCGGTATATACAATCATCCATCAACTGGTAGTTCAAGGATCGGGTGAAGGGTAATAGCAAAAAAAAACAAGAGTCAAGAAATAAAGACATTCAACATACATTCTCTCGAAAGAGAAAACAGAGAGGGCCCAAATACGCCAGAAATCATTAGACCTCCGGCGTAAGTCACAAGTTCGTTTTTCTAAAGGAGGGAAAATAGCAATTTGATTCATCCACATATAAACAGAAGGGACATGTGGAGTGGACCACAACAGAAGTATACATTTTCTCGCTAAGTAAAGATGTAAAACACATTCTTAAATCATGGTTGAGGTGTAATTCATTTTCCAGTACTTCTACATGTACTCAAGTCAATTATTTTTTGAAGTAGCAATACTTTTACTTAAGTACAATTGTTTAGTACCCTTTCCCTTGTTAGTCCTGCAACGTTTAGTAAGCATCATCTTCATGTGTGTGTGATCTGGACGCATTGCATCGGTCAGGTGGTGTCTCTGAGGCAGCAGATCGAGGCTCTTCGCGAGGTCCGTGTGCCGGCCGGTGTCGGGGGTCTCTGCGCTCCTGACGCGCCCTGCGCTCTGAGACTGGAGCAGATGGAGAGAGAGCACAGAGAGAGAATGACCGAGATACACAACGAGCACGAGAGAGAACGCAGAGAGATGGAGAGAGACAAACAGAGACTGCTGCAAGAGGAAGCCAAAAATACTGTTCAAGGTCAGTATGGGCCACAGAACACCACTGGGTCACATATGGGTGACATAATTATAATAATAGTAAATGTTTCTTGAGCATCAAATCATCATATTAGAGTGATTTCTGAAGGATCATGTGACACTGAAGACTGGAGTATTGATGCTGAAAATTCAGCTTTGATCACAGGAATAAATTATGTTTTAACTTATATTCACTTAAAAACAGTTATTTTAAATTGTAATAATGTTTCACGATATTACTTACTGCGTTTTTGATCAAATAAATGCAACCTTGGTGAGCAGAAGAGACTTCTTTCAAAAACATTGACAAAACCCAAAATTTCAACTAGGGATGCACTGATATGACATTTTCTAGCCGATACCGATAACCGATAATTCTTTATATTTGAAAGCCGATAATCAATATATTGGCCGATAAATCTAAATCAAATTTTTATATCATTTTTGAGAGCCTGATTACAAAACCAAAAGTCTCACCATTAAAATCCACGTCCCAAGCACACAATTATAATGATGTTCTCATTATGATTTTATGTAGCTTATGCACGTTGAAATGCATTTTCCTTTTTTGAAGTGCTTCCAATCTTATTTCAAGCAATTCAAAACCATCATGGCGGACAGTGCGCGTCTGAAGTGTCTCAGCGGAAGGAAATAATACATTGGCTTTAATATATCAGCCAAATTTTCTTATCGGGCCGATAACAATAACATTAAAAATGAACATATATCGGCCGATACCGATACGGTGGCCGATATATCGTGCATCCCTACTTTCAACAGTAGCGTCCATCCCCAAAAAAATCTAGTGCTTAAATTGAGTCATTTTGATGTACGACCGGGTGAGACTTCAGTATGTTCATTTCAAATACTACTTTTTTCATCTTTATTCATGCAGCTATGGAGGCTCTGAGGAAATCTCACCAAGAGGAGATTGAGAGACTGAAGGTTCATGGAGGAGGAGAGCCAACAGACCCCTCGATCAAACAACAGCTGTACGTCCACAAGTTACTCATAACACTCAATCAAATCACTCAAACCTACGCAGTCTGACAAGGAAACACCACCAAAACTGCTCTAAGCTCATTTTTGTGGTGCGTAGCATGCTGAACTTAGCAGAAAACATGTTGAAAATCCACTATATACCTATTTAGCAACATAATCCTTTGCAAAATCAGGGGCTTTTGCTCTGGAGGAATGTTTTCACACTTTTGACTATTGACGCAAGTACCTGCTTTAAGAATGCCTTTTGAAGGGAATAAATCAGCTCCTAATTCAGTGTCTAACCCACCACTATAGGAACCATAAGTTTCATTTCATTTTATTGTTTATTTTTACAGGGACAATGCACAATTAAAAGTAATTGCACCAGAATTAGCTAATAGCTAATTTACATCTGCTGTCCCTGGGCAGGTAAACAAATAAAATAACATACAATATTACATATACACCACATAAAACATCACAATACATGTGTCCAGGGATGTAAGATTTACAAAATCAGTTTATAAAACAGATAATTTACCACACAGTCATTAATGGTTGCAGATTTGTTCTGATAGTAGCCAGTACTTAACCTTGTTTTTAAAAATTGAGAAGCTATCAATACTTTGGATGTTTATGGGTAAGGAATTCCATATCCATAAGTGACATAAGGATACGCTGATTGGCCGAACGCAGGCCTTACGAAACACTAGTCGTCTAGTTGACTTTAATAATCTGCTATAATGCTTTTAAGTTTGAAGTCGACTAGTTGCCGATCATGGCCTCTCTGAGAGCGCTCCACAAGATATGTTTGATTATACCATCTGGATGCTCAAAATTGTTCGGGTGAATGCACGTTTTATACAGTTTATTGTACACTTAAAGGGTTAGTTCACCCAAAAATGAAATTTCTGTCATTACTCGCCCTCGTGTCGTTCCAAACCCGTTAGATCTTCGTTCATCTTCAGAACACAAGTGAAGATATTTTTGATGAAATGCGAGAGGTTTCTGATCCCTCCATAGGCAGTGACGATATTACCACTTTCAAGGCCCAGAAAGGTAGTAAAGACATCGTTATAATAGTCCATGTGACTACAGTGGTTCAACCTTAATGTTATGAAGCATTATTCCTCCACTCCACCTCAATGTTATTGCTCACGTGAACAGCTTCATAGGCTGATGCGCAAGAGAAGAAATTGTTGAATAAAGTTGTTATTTTTGTTTGTTTTTGCGCTCAAAACTATTGTCGTCGCTTCATAACATTAAGTTTGAACCACTGTAGTCACATGGACTATTATAACGATGTCTTTACTACCTTTCTGGGCCTTGAAAGTGGTAATATCGTCACTGCTTGTGGAGGGATCAGAAACCTCTCGGATTTCATCAAAAAATATCTTCATTTGTGTACCGAAGAGTTGTGTTCCGAAGAGTTGTGTTCTGAAGAGTTGTGTTCCGAAGATTTGTGTTCCGAAGATTTGTGTTCCGAAGATTTGTGTTCCGAAGGTTCGTGTTCCGAAGATTTGAGTTCCGAAGATTTGTGTTCCGAAGATTTGTTTTCCGAAGGTCTGTGTTCCGAAGAGTTGTGTTCTGAAGATTTGAGTTCCGAAGATTTGTGTTCCGAAGATTTGAGTTCCGAAGATTTGTGTTCCGAAGATTTGTTTTCCGAAGATTTGTTTTCCAAAGGTTTGTGTTCCGAAGAGTTGTGTTCCGAAGGTTTGTGTTCCGAAGAGTTGTGTTCCGAAGATTTGAGTTCTGAAGATTTGTGTTCCGAAGATTTGTGTTCCAAAGATTTGTTTTCCGAAGATTTGTTTTCCAAAGGTTTGTGTTCCGAAGAGTTGTGTTCCGAAGATTTGTGTTCCGAAGGTTCGTGTTCCGAAGATTTGAGTTCCGAAGATTTGTGTTCCGAAGATTTTTTTTCCGAAGGTTTGTGTTCCGAAGAGTTGTGTTCCGAAGATTTGAGTTCCGAAGATTTGTGTTCCGAAGATTTGTTTTCCAAAGGTTTGTGTTCCGAAGAGTTGTGTTCCGAAGGTTTGTGTTCCGAAGAGTTGTGTTCCGAAGATTTGAGTTCTGAAGATTTGTGTTCCGAAGATTTGTGTTCCAAAGATTTGTTTTCCGAAGATTTGTTTTCCAAAGGTTTGTGTTCCGAAGAGTTGTGTTCCGAAGAGTTGTGTTCCGAAGATTTGAGTTCCGAAGATTTGTGTTCCGAAGATTTGTGTTCCGAAGATTTGTTTTCCAAAGGTTTGTGTTCCGAAGAGTTGTGTTCCGAAGATTTGTGTTCCGAAGATTTGTTTTCCGAAGGTTTGTGTTCCGAAGATTTGTTTTCTGAAGATTTGTTTTCCAAAGGTTTGTGTTCCGAAGAGTTGTGTTCCGAAGATTTGTGTTCCGAAGAGTTGTGTTCCGAAGAGTTGTGTTCCGAAGGTTTGGAACAACACGAGGGCGAATAATTTATGACAGAAATTTCATTTTTGGGTGAACTAACCCTTTATTCGCCGTTCTAAATGAATGAGCTGAATGATATTGTGAACAATACACCCAAATAACTACATCTGAATTATAAATGATCAAAGTTATTCATTTCGATCACATATTTATACATTGTATTACAACTAAATGAGACTTTACACCATTCTCAACAGAGACAAGCTTAGATGCATTGTAACACACACACACACACAGACAGTAGCTCACACATCACGCGCAGATCGCGCGCACACAGAAACATTCATGTATTGTCAAGACTGTTCTGTGATTTATCAATAAGATAGCTTAGAAACTGAAAGGTTCTAGCATATATTTCTTAGTAACTAAAACCCACAGCTTCACTATTAGTAGAGAGACGCACCATAGCAACCACTCAGAACACTATAGCAACCACCTAGCAACCACCTGAACACATGAATAAGCCATATCTCAACACCAGACATGGTTGTTGGCTCGTATGCAATAATGTACCACACTCTAGCAACCGAGCGGTGAGTTTTGCCACTGCAAGCACCATTTCACATTTTCTTCTGGAAATGTCCATTCTAGAACAATCAATTCACATGCAATCGCTCTCTAACTAATGCATTCATATGAATGTAATCTTTACTGTGCTACTTTATCTGTATCCGAGTTAGAACGTGAAATCTGACGAAATATAACGACCCAAAGACAGATGAACTGATAAAAATAAGCTGTTATGTAGGAGCGCTGTGTCATATCTGTGCACAAGGCGACCCGTGTTCGAGTCTCAGCTTGAGGTTCATTTGTTCATTAATGACTTGACTTTTTTCAAATACATGTCGACTTTAAAAAAAATCCTTCAACCCCTACCAACTACACTCACAGTGTTCGAAAAAAGTCGTCTGTCAGATTTGATGCATGTTCACAAACACTTTATATTCAGTAATCCTGCCAGAATCCATCTGATTTAACCCTGTGCCGTATGAAATAATAGTCTTTGTTTGAAATGGAACAGTTTATTCAAATGCTGGATGTTTGCTGTGTTGGATTCAGTTTGAAATGGTCTAAAAAGTCGAGACGAGAGTGTGTTGCATGCTAGAAAAGCCCAACATCTTGTTAAATATTTGACCGGCATGATGATATTCTCAAGGGATGTCAATAATTAATACTGTACACAAGTTCTCATCTGTGCCGTGATTCCTCTCTCGCGCCTCAGAGACTCCCAACCCAAGAGCGTCATTTACTCTGAAAAGCGGCAGGTGTTTGATTGACAAGAATCGATTGATCACTCAGTTAATCGATGACTGGGTCTGTGTGTCCATCAGCCACGAGTCGCTCTCTCTGCAGCGGGAGCTGGGCGGCCTGTCCGAGCGTTATTCCCAGCAGTGTGTGGAGCTCAGCCGCGTCCAGAACAGCACCGAGGAGCGAGACGGGGCGATCCGACAGAAGGAGAGAGAGATGCAGCAGCTCCGCCAGGAGAACCAGGTAGACCGGAAGTGGGATGAGAGGAATGAGGCCATTGGAAGATACACAATACACCATGTGAAACTAAAATTTAAACTTCTAGCGTCCCCAAATTAATAATGCATGATACACACATAGTGAGGATCCAACCCGGATCTGAGACTAACTGGACCAAAAAACGTAGTCTTCCTGGGACGTTCGCAGATATGAGGAAATCATAATTATGACATGGTTTTGGTTAAACTAACCTAGACTGTTTACTTTTCTGACAAAAACAGGAAGCTTTGGTAACACTTTAGATTACAGCCCGGAAAGTTCTGCGTAATTAAAGCGATTTTACAGCTTAACTTTTGGTAATTATAGTGTACCTATAACGTACTTACAATATAAGTATAAGGGAACAATATTTTAAGTTTGGGGAATAAAGGGGTAACAACCAGGAGAATTACAAAATTATTTATACTGTATTATAGAACTAAGGGGAACTTATTCTACTATTATGATATAACAATCTTACATTTAGGAGCATTTTAGCGAGAACATACACTGCGTACCTTTTTGAAATAATGGTGAACCAGTACATACTGTATAGGCTTTTTAAAAATTACAGGGTACATATCTATGCATTTATAAAGTAATCTTTTTAACAAAAGTGCACTGAAAATGAAAACTATTGCAACATTTGCTTAAATATTGGGGAAAGATACTCTTGTTTCATGTAGTGGTGCTTGTTACCCCCTTGTTCCATGTAGTTACAGGGTAAGTACAATAAAAATGCATACACAATCTTATATCACTGACTCGGAAACCTTTATTCATTATACAAGCGCCACTTACCCTGTAACCACATGAAACAAGATATATTTCCCAGTATTTAAAAAAAAATTTGCAATAGTCTTAGCTTTTCTTGCCTTGAAACATGTTAGGCCAAACTTAAACATCTGCACTTTTGCTATCAAATTTTTTTAATTTTTTTTTTTTAATAAATGCATAGATATGTACCCTGTAAGGTACGCAGTGTATGTTCTCGCTAAAATGCTCCCAAATGTAAGATTGTTAATAGTAGAATAAGTACCCATTAGTTCTATAATACAGTATAAATATTTGAATTAATTAATTCTCCTGGTTGTTACCCCTTTATTCCCCAAACTTTAGATATTGTTCCCTTATACTTACATGCAAGTACTTTACAGGTACACTACAATTACCGCAAGTTACACTGTAAATTCCTCTTAATTACACAGTACTTTCCAGGCTTTAATCTAAAGCGTTACCAAAGCTTTTTTTTACTTCTAGTGTGTTTAACTGACGCTTTATGTATTTTATCAATCACACGCTGCTACAAAGAATGATGGGAAATGTACACTAGTGTTCAAAGGTTTGGGGTCGGTACGTTTTTGAAAGACGTATCATGTTCAGCAAGGCATTATGTTGATCAAAAATACAGTAATATTGTGAAATATTATTACAATTTAAAATAGCTGTTTTCTATGTGAATATATGTTAAATGTAATTTATTCCTGTGATCAAAGCTGAATTTTCAGCATCATTACTCCAGTCTTCAGTGTCACCTGATCCTTCAGAAATCACTCTGATATGAAGAAAGAAACATTTCTGATTATTATCAATATTGAGGATTCTTTGATGAATAAAAAAGTTCAAAAGAACAACATTCATATGAAACAGAAATAATTATTATAATTTTATTATAAATATTACATTATAAATGTTTTTACTGACACTTTTGATCAATTTAATGCATCCTTGCTGAATAAAAGTATTAATTTCTGGGGGGGGAAAAAAAAGAAGAAAAAAATCTAAAAAGCATTTATTCTTTCACAGTAAACAAAATCCATTCACACTTGGGCTGATTAAAATGCTGAAACAACCTAGTTGTTACCGTATATTATAGTAATATTTTAACATCTCATACCTTCCTTACTCAAAGTAGGAGCTTAAAGAAAATATCCCACTAGTATTTAATTACGGTGACATTCAGGTGTGCTGATTTCATAAACGCGCTCATTTAGACATCACATGTCATCCTGTGACTCAATCCATCATGTCACATATTGAAATCTGACACAGAGCACCTTTAAATTTTAAACACACATCAGTTATTCAGAGGGACAGAGCGACTGATTTCAGCGTGTGTGATATGTCTCGACACACAGCATCCTGTTTCATTGTTCTCAGACTGTCGGTGTGAGTTTTCTTCACGGACCCAGGACTAGTTTACTTACGCTAGCCAGAGTTATTGTCACCAAACAAACGCATGAAACACAAATGCTCGCCTCGCTGTCAGTGTGTGAATGAGCAAGGCTTCTTGTGTGGTTTTTAGCTTGGATGTGTCAAAATCACATTTCCTCTTCCTGTACACACAGGAACTGCAGGCGCGTCTGACGGAGGAGATAAGTCTCATGCGATCCTTCATCACAGGTCAAAGGTCAGGAGTTGTTCCCCTCGGCAGCTACGAAAGGAGCACCTCCGAATTAGAGGTGAGGCTCTGACCTTCGACCCGTAGATTATGTCTTCATGATCATTCAGAGAGAAGTATATTAGAATATTCTAATTAATGCAAATTAAATCAGCATGTAAATCGTGTAAATATTCACTACTGTCCAAAAGTTCTGGGGTCATATTAGAGTGATTTATGAAGGATCATGTGACACTGAAGACTGGATGCTGAAAATTCAGCTTTGATCACAGGAATAAATTACATTTTAACATATATTCACATAGAAAACACTTATTGTGAATTAGAAAATATTTTCACATTTTTACTGTATTTTTGACCAAATAAATGCAGCCTTGATGGAGCAGAAGTGACTCATTAAAAAATCTTACCGACCCCAAACTTTTAATGAAATAAGGCAGAGTAGATAAATTGATGTTATTGTAAGAAATGTGCTAATATATCAAAAGTTACTAAAACTCAAAAGACTGTTGTTAGATGCTCAACACTGGTTTAGTCATATATGTGATACTGTACGCACAGAATAATCAATAACAAACAAGTCAATTCACTACCCATCAAAAATATGCTAAAATAGATGAGGAAAACACACAAGAATTGATCTCACCAAATACTGCAATCCTCCATTTTGTGTCCAAAAATGATCCACTACATGATTAATCCACAAAAAAATACTTATAAATCCCAGATTGTAAGTGAAATTATTTTCCTAATATATAATCTATTTAGGAGGAAATAAATATTCAAGAGGCCTCTTTCCTCATGGCTATCACCGTTGATTAAAAGTCCTCTGCACTGTCTGTGGGGTTTATGAATCAGAAGAAATGTCTCCAAACATCACACCATCCAGTAGAAGAACATCGGCTCATTTTTAAGTTTGAGCGGGAGATTGAAGGTGCCTTTAGGGTCCAGATGGTGTAATTATGACATCAACCAGCAGGGGCTAATTGACCATCCTAACCATCAGCCAAACCTCGACTCCGTCATTATACGTCAGATTTTGGGGAAATGCATTTAATAACCTGGGATTTCCACTCCACTTTGCATTACTGTGTTTCAGAACATATAACGCATACTGTAAAAAGAGTGTGTAGTTTGGCTTGTAGACACACGTGAGGTGGATGACGTCATCAGGGGCGGGGCATGTGATGTGCGTGATCTGTGGGCAAACGCTGCCATCTAGTGATCATACGAGTAAATAAACCGATTGTTATTTTGCAGATCCATGTTTTGCTGTAATAAATCCTTAAATAGTGTCGGTGGTTTATAAATTATTAATGATAAAACTGGTTTGGGTGTTGTTGACAAATAATATGGACATTGCTCCATATATATATATTTGAAAGATTATATTTTAGGTGCTGTGACTGGTCACTATGTCCTTTATTTTGCTCTAATAGTGTGATGAATGAATTTTTACGAGGACAAAATGTAGATTCTTGATTAATATGAAGTAAAAAATGAATGAATATTTGCATCAGAATTGGAGAAATGGTTTAGTATAGTCATTCTGCCATGTCCATCTGTAGATGTTGCTGAAAGTGAAGGAAAGTGAGGTGGATTATCTTCACAAGGAGATCAGCTGTCTCAGGAAAGAGGTCCAAACTCTAACTAAGGTACAAATTCAGCATTAAATCAAAATACTATCCATTATTAATGCTTATTACAGAGAAAACACTTTTAGATTGATGGATTCGGCCATGAATAATTGATTGTTGATAGTAATATTGTTGTGTGTGCCTGCAGGAGAATGAAGCGCTGAGTGAGCGCTATAAGGAGGTGTATGTGGAGCTGAGTGAATTAAGGGGCCGCAGTGAGAGAGACATCAATGCACTTAAAGAACACCTCAAACTCACTGATGCTGCGCTGGAGGAGGGGCGTCTCCTCGGCAACAGCAGAACCGGCCAATGAGAACACACCAGGAGATCATAAGATGGAAACTTCAGTGTCACATTGGGATGCATCGGATTCGCTCACATGTATACAGGATATTGTGTTATTATGTGCAGGTCTTTTCTTGGTTAACTTAAAAATCATATTCTTTAGAAATGACAATGGTGCTAAAAATTAATAAATATTCCATATTCTTAAAGCAAGATGTATTTTAAGTTAAACACAATAAAAAGTGCCTCTGTTGGACTTTCTAAGTGTGTGAAAATGTATGAATCTTAATGTAGAGTCCAATAAAAACTCACTAACTCTCACACACACTCATAAACAGACACACTCACTCACTGACACACTCTCTCGCACACACATTTATATTACATTACATGTATAACAAAAACACAACGAGCAACTTAACATTCAATCAATTTATTAAATAGAAGAGAGGCTATTGATGAGGGCAGCCTCAAATCATATTGTCGTAGACAATGTTTTGAAACCTAAAAATAACATTAAACGTTGGCTTCTAGACATGTTTAGTGTAATGTGGGAATTTGAACACTAGAGTGTGTTGACAATCTTTATTATTGCATAAATATATATCCTGTTCATCTGCATCAGGCACCTCTCAGAAGATCTGCAGACCGCTGGAGTGAAACCTGCACAAGAACATAAACATCTACAACCACATACACACAATATAATAGTAATACATAACACAATATAAAGATATAAATCTACCTTCGCTCAGTCGTCATCATCATCATCATCTGGGACGAAGATCTCATGTTCCTCCAGAAGAGCAGCGAAATTTTTACTGATCAGATTACCAACATAGAGGAACGGAATCACCACTATAAACATGCGGGTCAGACCGAACGGGACCTGGAGAAATATATCAAATTATACCTAAATTAGTAATAATAATAATATATGTGCATATTGAAACCTTCACAATGAATCATTTGGCGTTTAAAATATATTTAAAAAAAAACGTTTTGTATACGGTACACGAAAAACACAGTCGATAAACTGACATATAAATAATTGATTTTTAGAAACAGCCGTCACGTCACGAAATACACTTCCTCTTTTGATAAAATATGTGCCGCTCCAGCAATATGATTGGCCATCATTCATGTCAATCAAGACATTCTTATTTTTCATTGGCTAGCCAAAAGCCCTACCCTGGTTCCAACTTATCCTTAGGAGCCTCCAACTGTAATGCTTAGACATGTATAAACTCACCTTATCTGGTTTAGGAAGGACTCTCCCCGTTGTGGATGACACGGCGGTTCGGCTGAGAGTCAGTCCTGTCGCATTCACCGATTTTGGACCAGTTTTGCGGCTCAGCGTTGCTGTATTTCTAAAGACAACTGCTAGAGAGAGACGAGCCACCAACGACGCCATGTTTCCTGTTTGTGCGCTTCAGAGAAACGCCCAGTGGACCCGCCTCCTTTGGATTTATAATTAGGGGGAGGAGTAAATATGCTCTCCCCTGTTTACTGAACTCAGCAAAAAAAAAAAAAAAAAAATTCGACAGAATTGATGTCAATAATGTCAATAAAGTTTAAATGACAACGACTCAACGACTCATTCATTTCAATGACATAGGGATGGAGGGTGATACAGCCATTCATGTAAATTGTTTCACTAGACTAGAGACACACCCGCCCGCCAGGTCAAGGTCCTCCTTGGTGTATGATAAAGCTCGACATGATAAAGCATAATAATATGACAGTTATTTCTATGCTTTTTATGTTAATTATTAAAGTGTGCTTGAAAGTGATCATGATAAAATAAAAATAGAATATGAACATTTTAATTAACTGCAGTATAAATCGATTGAGACGACTTTCACATTATAATGTTGTGATTAGTTGACTAATTAGAAACTACATAAAATGTAACCTCATTTACACACAATTATTTTTCCACACTGAACACGTAAACCAAAATGACAGTGGTTGATTGGTTGAAAAATGTTCAGAGCCAGAACGCAGCAAATAACCCGCCCTCATTTCTTTGATTGACGGCTTTTGTGACCAATCAAAGCTCTCATTGGAGAAGGCAGAGCCAATCGGCGAGCTGCTCGGGCTGGACTGATGGCAAATCCATAGAACTGGCAAAAATCAAAAATGGCGCCCAGCTCGAAATCTGAGAAAGATGACAACAAACAAAAACACCAGAGAAAACATAAAGATCACATCATCAAACTCCTCACGCGAGGCCGGGTAGGTAGAAAGAGGAAAGTTGGTCCAAATGTCACATTTGTTGCGTGAAATGTTTCAACAGCATAACGTATATAATAATGTGTCTGTTATTAGCATGTTTAGCTGTAGCCTCATTAAACGCCTTTATGTGTCTATCAGAGTTCATTATTTGTGTATGTGAAGCTATTAATGGGCACATCTACAAAAAAAGCAAAAATATTCGTTTGCAGCAGTACATGGTTCTTTGGGGCAGTTACAACAACAAACAATGGTCATGTTTATATGAATCTGTCATGATTGAGAAGATGTCCATCAATTATCATAACATAAGTAACTTATTATTCATTGGTTTGCACTGACATCTATCATTAACATTGAAATAACAGTATCTGTCCTCAACCCCACCTCATTTAATGAAAAATGTCATTTTTATGGTATAAACGCCTCAGCCAGGTTGAGTTCAGTGCAAAGATGATTTTAATAGGTTATCATAACTATCATGGTCTTGATATTTAGCAGTAACACCCTTGATTAAGATGATTTTGTCAGTCTAAAAGCTCATTTAACTGTAGTTATGGCTCATGTGTCTCTGTAACTGAATTAAAGTCTCTGTCTGTCTGTCTTTTAGCTGAATGGGCAGCTCTCGCAGCGGCTCTTCCGAAAACTCCCTCCTCGCGTCTGTGTCCCGCTGAAGACCATCGTCAGTGAGGAGTTCCTCAGAGCAGGGTGAGGAGAACATGCGATCTCTGTCGGAGCGATGTGAATGCTGTGTCTGATTCGTCTCTCTGCTATCACAGGCACATCTTCCTGGGCTTCACCAAATGCGGGCGGTACGTTCTGTCCTACACCAGTGACTGTGGAGAGGACGATGACTTCTCCTTCTACACGTATCACCTGTACTGGTGGGAGTTTAACCTGCACAGCCGCCTCAAACAGGTCTGTCAGAGTTTTGGATCCTGATTTAAAGTCAATATGATTTAAAGGCATTGCTCAGAGTAGCATAAGCCAGACAAGGGAGGATTAAAGGAAAAGGAAATAATATTTTTTTTTTTAAGAGGTTAAGTGCTGACGGAAGAGATGAGTTTCCTGCTGTCTTTTGAATGTTGTCAGCGATTCTGCACTCCGGATGAGGGCGGGAAGATCATTCCACCAGCAAGGAACCGTGAATGAGAGTGATTTTGTGGCTCTCTGTGATGGCACCACGAGCCGTCGCTCATTGACAGATCGAAGGCTTCTGGTAGGGACATAGACTCATATGAGCGAGTGGAAGTAGGAGGGCGCTGAGCCTGTGGTCGATCTGTAAGCAAGGGTCAATGCCTTGAACTTGATGCGAGCAGCGAACGGTAGCCAGTGCAGAGAGATGAACAGAGGAGTGACGTGGGCTCTTTTGGGCTCGTCGAAGACGAGACGAGCTGCAGCGTCTGGATCATTTGTAGAGGTTTAGTTGCACATGATGGAAGTCCAGCCAGAAGAGCATTGCAGTAATTAAGCCTAGAAATGACCAGGGCCTGGACGAGTTGTGTTGCATGCTCAGTTAGGAAAGGCCTGATCTTCCTGATGTTGTGCAGTGCAAACCTGCATGATCTTGTGGTCTGTGAAGCTGTCATCAAAGATTACTCCAAGATTTCTGACTGATCTTGATGGTGTGATTGATTGAGGATGAGCCTAGCTGGATAGTGAAGTCGTGCTGTAGAGACGGATTGGCAGGGAGGACGAGAAGCTCAGTCTTTGCCAGGTTGAGCTGCAGATGATGTTCCTTCATCCATGCCGAGATGTCCGCTAGACAGCTTGAGATCCGTACGGCTACTGTGGGATCCTCTGGTGGAAATGATAGGAAGATCTGTATGTCATCAGCATAGCAATGGTAAGAAAAACCATGTGCCTGTATGATGGGTCCCAGTGATGTGGTGTAAATGGAGAAGAGGAGAGGTCCAAGCACTGAACCCTGGGGAACCCCTGTGGTCAGTTGATGTGTTTTGGATACCTCACTTCTCCATGCGACCCTGAAGGACCTACCTGTGAGATAGGACTCAAACCAGTGGAGAGGAGTACCTGTGATGCCCAGTGATGAGAGGGTGGACAGGAGGATCTGATGATCCACAGTGTCGAAGGCAGCAGACAGATCCAGGAGGATGAGAACTGATGTTTTGGAAGCAGCTTTTGCGATCCGCAGGGCTTCTGTGACCGACAGTAATGCCGTCTCGGTTGAATGCCCTTTCTAGAAACCAGATTGGTTGACATCCAGCTGGTTATTCTGAGACAGGAAAGATGATACTTGGTTGAAAGCAACTCGTTCAAGTGTTTTCGCAATGGGTAGGAGAGAGACAGGTCTGTAATTCACTAAAAGTGATGTGTTTAATGTTGTTTTTTTAAGCAGTGGAGTTTGCTATATGAACACAAAAAAATCGTAGACCTAATGTGTATATGTATATAAGGCTGAAATCCCCTCAAAAACATTAAAGAATACATTTTATTTAATATAGTACATTCATGAGGATCACAAGTGTGACCTCTAAGTGAGCGTTTAACTATTTGAACAGTCTGTAGTTGTGGCTTCTTCACATCTAGAGCGACATGACAAGTCAGTTTCTTTCTCTTTGCAGGTGCATCATGTGCGTTTGTTTGCGGGTGAGGACATCTACACCGATCTCTATCTAACCGTCTGCGAGTGGCACAACGATCATTCCAAGCTGGTCGTCTTCGGCTTCAAGTAAGAGTCTGTCTTCCTCCTCTGTACTGGGTCAGTGGCAGGGTTGCTTTAGTAAGAATTTAGTTTAAATAAAACTAAAGCCATAAAAAAATGTTTGTTACTTGAAATAAAACAATCATTAACTGAATTAAAATATTAAAAAAAATATTTATTTCAGCTAGGCCTAGTTGTCGAGCAACATTTCTCATTTTCATTTAGTTTTACTTGATGTACTTAACTTAAACTTAAATAAAAATTAATAAAACCTATATAGACATTTAAAAAAGCGGTCTTTCACACAGGTATTTCTTTCTTTCTTTCTTTCTTTCTTTCTTTCTTTCTTTCTTTCTTTCTTTCTTTCTTTCTTTCTTTCTTTCTTTCTTTCTTTCTTTCTTTCTTTCTTTCTTTCTTTCTTTCTTTCTACGTACATCTTATGCTCTATTTTCTTCCTTTCATGCAGTGTTAAACAAATAAAGTTATTGTCTCCTAAAAAAAAAAATATGAAAATTCGGAACTGCTAAATCGAGTCATCAGCAATGCCGAACTCACTTCCTGCTCGAACCTTCGTAACAACGTAACAAATTTGCTTAATGCCAGCCTATCGTCTTCATCGGCTGCCCTCGAACGATGCCTACTTTGACCCTCAAACACTGTACAAGTAGCTGAGGCCCAGAAGAGTTCGGTTCGTGTTGTCGACATGTCGAGAGACGCTGTTTTCAGTTCTGCGAATCCACTTTTCATGCTCTTCCAAACTAAGGATGAGGACTCGGGTTCAAATTGATACATTAAAACTGACACC